GGTGATGGTGATGGTGATGGTCCTGGGTCAGGGGCAAGATGGCTGATTGTTCCTGGGGTGCCGCCTTGCCTATGGTCCTGCTTTCAGACATTAATCACGGGCTGCATATACAGCGGATCCTGGGTCCTTGGATGCCACCATGCCTGAAGTGCGGCTTCTAAATCACAACCATGGGCCACAGGCTAGGCCGCTCCTGGGTCCCATCGTGCCGCCGTGCCTGAGGACAGCCCTCTCTACATGATCATGATCACGGGTCCACTTGGGTCCCGGTGTGCCGCCTTGCCTGTGGTCCTGCTTTTAAATCTCGATCAGGATCACAATCACTGCTGCAGGCAAGGGCTGCCGGGGTGCCGCCTTTTCTGTGGTCCGACTTTCAAATCACTATCATGGGCCACAGGCAAGGCGGCTCCTGGGACCCAGCGTGCTGCCTGGCCTTGGCCTCAGCTTTATGGTCATGATCATGATCCTGGGCCACGGGCAAGATGGCTGATTGTTCCTGGGGTGCCCCCTTGCCTGTGGTCCTGCTTTCAGATCTCAATCAGGATCAGGATCACGGCTGCAGGCAAGGCAGCTCCTGGGTCCAGGGGTGCCGCGTTGTCTGTGGTCCGGCTTTCAAATCACGATCATGGGCCACATGCAAGGCGGCTTCTGGGACCTGGGGTGCTGCCTGGCCTAGGGCTCAGCTTTCTGATCTTGATCATGATCCTGAGACACAGGCAAGATGGCTGATGATTCCTGGGGTGCCGCCTTGCCTGTGGTCCTGTTTTCAGAACACAATCAGGATCACGGTCACAGTCACGATCACAGCTGGAGGTAAGGCCGCTCCTAGGTCCTGGGTGCCACCTTGCCTGCGGTCCAGCTTTCAGAGATCAATCAGGGGCCGCAGGCAAGCGGCTCCTCCATCCTGGGATGCTGCCTTGCCTGAAGCCTGGCTTCTAAATCACAATCTGGGCCATAGGCAGGGCGGCTCCTGGGATCCGAGGTGCTGCCTTTACTGCGGCCTGGCTTTCAAATCATGATCAGGATCACGGCTGCATGCAAGGCAGCTCCTGGGTCCCGGGGTGCCGCCTTGTTTGTGGTCCGACTTTCAAATCAAGATCGTGGGCCACAGGCAAGGTGGCTCCTGGGATCCGGGGTGCCTGCGTCCTGGCTTTCTGATTACAGTCATCATCAAGGGCCACAAGCAAGCTGGCTCCTGTGTCCAGGTGTGCCACCTTGCCTGTGGTCCTGCTTTCCGATCTCAATCATGGGCCGCATGCACAGTGGCTCCTGGGTCCTGGGGTGCCGCCTTGCCTGAAGCCCGGGTTCTAAATCACAATCTTGGGCCACAGGTAAGGCTGCTCCTGGGACCCGAGGTGCCGCCTTAACTGTGGCCCGGCTTTCAAATCAATATCATGGGCCACAGTCAAGACGGCTCCTGAGACCCCGTGTGCTGCCTGGCCTTGGGCTCAGCTTTCTGATCATGATCACGATCCTGGGCCACAGGAAAGATGGCTGATGATTCCTGGGGTGCCGCCTTGCCTGTGTTCCTGCTTTCAGATCTCAATCAGGGGCTGCAGGCACAGCGGCTCCTGGGTCCTGGGGTGCCCCCTTGCCTGAAGCCCAGCTTTAAATCACAATCATGGGCCACAGGCAAGGCGGCTCCTGGGACCAGGGTTGCCACCATGCCTGAGTCCAGGCTTTCAAATCACGATCATGATCAAGGTCCAGAGGCAAGGCGGCTCCTGGGTCCAGGTGTGTGCCGTGCCTGAGGTCGGCCCTCTGATCATGATCAGGATCACGGGTTCCCTTGTGTCCTGGGGTGCTGCCTTGCCTGTGTTCCAGCTTTCAAATCACGATCAAGGACCACAGGCAAGGCGGCTCCTGGAAACCGTTTTTGCCACCTTGCCTGTGGTCTGTCTTTCCGATCTCAATCACTGGACGCCGGTAAGGCGGCTCCTGGAACCCAGACTGCTGCCTTGCCTGCGGCCTTAATTTCCGAGTACTATCAAGATCACAATCGTGATCACGGCTGCAGGCAAGGCACCTTCTGTTTCCCGGAGTGCCACCTTGCCTGTGGTCCTGCTTTCTGATCTCAATCACGGGCCGCAGGCACAGTGGCTCTTGTTTCCTGGGGTGCCGCCTTGCCTGAAGCCCGGCTTCTAAATCACAATCTTGGGCCATAGGCTAGGGGGCTCCTGGGACCCGAGGTGCCGCCTTGACTGCGACACGGCTTTCAAATTATGATCATGATCAAGGTCCAGAGGCAAGGCGGCTCCTGGGTGCCGGTGTGTGCCGTGCCTGAGGTCGGCCCTCTGATCATGATCAGGATCACCGGTCCCCTCGTGTCCTGGGGGTGCCGCCTTGCCTGTGGTCCTGCTTTTAAATCACGATCACGGCTGCAGGCAAGGCAGCTACTTGGTCCCAGGATGCCTCCTTTATGCGGCCCGGCTTTTAAATCATGATCACATGTTGACATGTAAGATAAATTCTCATATTTTCAGTTAACAAAACTTTTCAAATGTCTACCACGATATAAAAAAATTTAAAATCTCATTTTATTCATGTCCACTTTAAAAATGAGGCAAAGTAAATTGAAAAAGTACGAAACTATATTTTTCAAAGGGGAATTCAGTGTAGTATCCCCACCTGAATTAGTTACTGAAGTAGCAAACTTAATGTATTATGAAGCCTTTTAATCTATCACTGTGGATCTTACAGTACTGTCCACAGTAAGTATGCAGTATATACTAAGATACTAATAAAAAAAGTTACAATAAAAGATCTTACTATTTCCTTACTTTTTAATATAGAGACTGGCTTTAAGCACCTAATCTTTACAAAAAATTTTAAATACTTCAACTATTCCTGCCAACATTCTGATAACTTTAATGAAATATTAAATATGCCTATATGCAACCCAGTAAAACCTGGAAAATATTTAAACTCAATCTTAATGACCCTTTTGACTGACATCCTAGCCTAGTGAATATTTTCTACTCACTTTCTTCAACTGTATTATCAACTCTAAACATGTTAAATTTTTTGAAACGTTATGCTTGAAAAGACTCAAGAAGAAACATCATGGAAGTGTTCCAATTTTTAAAATTCTTCCTTGCTAATGTGCTTTTATAATTTGCCATTGTAACTGCAGAGTTAGGAGAGAAAATGCTGACATCACAGACACATTTTAACTCAAAAGGCAGTAGTGCAACACAGACAGTCCAATAGGGAAAGCAAGATGTAGATCACAAACAATGAAATTTTACTTTCTAGATATTGGTTGTCTAATTTCTTTAAAACCAATTTCTAGACATGATAGCTAATGGTATGTATTATATAATATAAGCCCTTGGAAATACCTGCTAGCAAGGCGGTCCTGGAAAGTAATACAGAACCGCCACCCGTTGTATCCAGCGTCTGTACCACCAGAAATCTACACTTCACTAGTTCATTGTGGCAGTTTTAAGGCCAGTTACACAAGAATTTTCAAAGGCTAAAGAGCACAGAATATATGATTTTTATAATGAGAATAGTTGTTATTTAATTTCTTTGAAAGAGAAATCTTCACGCTGGCTAGATGGCTCAGTGGATTGGAGTGTCTTCCCAGGCACCAAAGGGTCCAGGATTCAGTGACCAGTCAGGGCACATACCCAGGTGCCAGGTTGGATCCCCAGTCCCAGACACTGGATGGGAGGCAACTGGTAGATATTTCTCACATATCCATGTTTCTCTCCCTTTCTCTTTCCTTCTCCCTTCCTTTCCCTCTGACATCAATTAAAAAGAAAGAGAAATCTTCAAGGTCAGAAAAACTGAAATGAAAACTCATAATTAAAATTATTTTAAAGTAATTCATATATGGTAACAATGTCTAAAAGGTTCAGGAGGAAAGGAAACAGCACATAATATATATATATTAAAAAAGTAGCCATTTTGCACTAGGAAGCAATAAACAATATTTAAGGAATTTTCTACTGTAAAATAATCCATTTTCCACATTATTAAAGTAAACATTAAAGCATTTGAAACTATACTAGTATACAGAAATAGGTACTTTAAACTTATTAAGTGAGAGGACCAAAGCTGAAAAGCAAATGTCAAGTGGCAGGTTAACTAGAAATTGTTAAAAGTTTAAGAGAGACATTTCCTTTTTATCCAAAACTGAAAACAAAATTAAACAAATGTAATATCCTCTAGTAATAAAAATAATCAAAGGGATATGAAAAATACTAAGGATCCTAAATTAAGCATAGGCTAAAAAAGATCCTCATCAGGTTAAAACCTTTAACTTATTCTTAAGAGGAAATACTAAACTTGCCAGAATAGGGAATATTATATTTCAACAGTACTTGTTTTGGTAGGTGAGATACTCATTATGTCAATACCCCCCCCCGCCACCCCCGTCTCCCTTAAAAGGAAAGAACTTATCTGGGATTGGAGCAGGAGCAGTGATCCTTCTCCAGTCCTTGCAGATGAGGCGCTCATCATGTCACAGCCCTCATTCCTCCTTAAGATAAGATGGCATGGGCACGCTGCACATCAGTAAGGTTAGCACAGCTGCCAGATTTTTTTATGGCCACCCTGCACAGGTTTTTGTTTTCACAATATCTGGCAATGGCCTAGGGGGAGACATGAGATAGAACACAGGTACATTCAAAATAAAGGAGCTGCAGCCTTCACAGAGAAAGCATCACTGATAGCCACACAGTCCTAATTCTTTATATGGATTATGGTCATTGCCTCTTCGGAGAGCTGCGTATACACTGCATGGTCCTTGGGATCCTATTTTATGTTCATCCACGAAGTTAAGTAGTTTAGGGACTCTGATTAGATTGACACAGCAAAGGGGAACTTAGAATTTGTTAAAGTTTGGGTTTTTTCAAGATGTCAAAGGTGTGACAGTCTTCCTCACAACAGTATCATCTGTTGTCTGTACACTTGGTTCCTTAAATATAATAAATATACAGTTGGGAAATGTTATTGTTTACTCAGCTATTTACATTCTATCCAATCTTCATTAGTTAGCATTTACTCTAAGCAAATTTTAATGAGGCTGGCATGTGCTGTATTTTACTGAAAGCTCGAAAGGTCTAGTGACTGATGCACCATCAAGGTACTATTTCACTTGCACATTAAGGTAGACGCACTCTAAAGGACTATTAAGTACCACAAAAACTGTCCATTTTAGTTGTAATTTCGTTGTATACTCCCCAGAATTCATAAGCCATAAATATTACTTTGTCGCACATACTTTACAAATGCCATTAAAAACCCATATACTTTCTACACCCAGTGTTTGAAGTACATATTCTACAATCTAAGTATCTCTCTCTCAGGTTACTTTTGTCTATCAAACTGAAGGTACTGAACTGTGATCTATACAGAAAAGACATGAATTTGCAAACTGAGTTAAGAGTGATAAGTAGAATATGGTTGTAGATATGATTAATGATACAATTGTAGGAAATTATTCATGTATGGCTATAAAATAGAATACAGTTTCAAAAAAACCATCAAAGTTTAAAATGGATTTAAATTATTCTGAATCGTGGTCACAGAAAAGGTAATTTTTATAATGTAGGATTCTTATATACACCATAAAAATACTGCTAATATGATGTGAGAGAGTTAATAAGTCTTATTCAATGTGTTAGTTTAAAACAGCTTTTCATTTTCCTAGTCTCTACATAATATGACTTATGCACAGATACTGGTTTTTGAGTCTGACAGAAAACCCCACTTTGTGATTTCACAGCCTTACCTCTAGGTTCAGTGCTCGTTCTTTTTGAAGAGGAGTCAATGCAATAGGCAACAATCCATGGTCACTTGCTAAGGACCGAAGGTCAAAATAGTATTGGGCATAGACACTGGTAGAAACATACAGACGAAACCGCAGTAGACATAGGTATTGCCTTTCCAACTCATTTCTGGGGGAGAAGGAAAACACAAAACCACCACAGGGCAATTTTAGTCAACATGGTTCTCTTCAAAATTGTCATTCTAAGCTACTAGGTTGGCTCTGAGTTTAGTTTTGAATCAAATAAAGGCTACCAACCTGGGCTAATACACTAATGTTCAACCAGGCAAACAAGGCTCAACAATTTGTGGTCCCCTTTGAGTTTGGGACAAGGGGAAGGACTTTGAGTTTGGGACAAAGGGAAGGAGGTTATGTCTCTTGTGCACAACAGCTGTTGACTAGGGGCTCAATTATCAGAGTCCCATTAGTGCAGCTGTAGGTTTATTCTTCTTGCTCACTCTCAGGGCTCCACTCTAGTGCTCAGATGAAAGGAATGATGTATGCTGTTTCTTAGCCCTGAAGAACTTGCAGACATTCTCACCAGGCTGATAGCAGGAAGGGGATTAGTAAAATAGAGATGTGCCAACAAAAGGACTGGGCACATCACCACAGCAACAAATGGATCCGTTCAGAACCACCACTCTTATCTTTGAGGGGAAAACTCTTGGAAAATTATCAGACACCAAAAAAGAAACTGAGGAAGAGACAACTCAATGGAAGCATGTACAATGCTCATGGACAGGAAGCATTAACACCTTTAAAATGTCCATACCACCTCAAATAATCTCTTTCAACCAAATTCCTATCAAGATGCCAATGCCATCTTTTACAGAAGTAGAACAACTAATCCAGAGTTTTATACGGACACACAAAAGACCCTGGACAATTCGTCACAGCAGTTGAGAGAAAAACAAAAGAGGCTGGAGGTATCACACTACCTGATATCAAACCCCACTACAGGGTTATAGTCATCAAAACAGCATGGTACTAGCATAAAAACAAACATAGATCAATGAAACAAAATTGAAAGCCCAGAAATAACCCCACACCTATATGTTTAATTACTATTTGACAAAAGAGGAGACTTCATTCAACGGTATATAGACAGTCTATTTAATAAATGATGTTGGGTAAATTGAACAGATACATTCAAACATTGAAGCTAGACCACTTCTTACACCATATACAAGAATAGACTCAAAATGGAATGTTAACCTAAATGTAAGTGTCAAAACCATAAAACTCCTAGAAGAAAACATAGGCACTAAAATCTGGAATATTTCTCTTAGTGCTTTGCTGATAGATTAACCTGAGCAAACGAAATAAAAGAAAAAATAAAGGATTGGGACTATATCAAACTAATAGTTTTAGTATAGCAAAAGAAAACATCAACAAAATAAAAAGACAACCCACTGATGGGAAAACATATGTGACATTGATATATCTAATAGGGGGTCTAATATTCAAAATTTATAAAAAACATACATAACTAAACAACTTCTATAAAACATATACAGCTCAATACCAAAAATACGAAAAATCTAATTAAAAAATGGACAGAAGACCTGAAAAGACACTTATCCAAAGAGAGCATACAGATGGCTGATAGATAGGAAAAGATGCTTAACATCACTGATCATCAGTGATATGCAAATTAAAACCACAATGAGATATCCTCACACCTGTCAGGATGGCTATCATCAACAAACAGCAAGTGCTGACAAGGATGTGGAGAAAAGGGAACCCTCGTGCACTTTTGGTGGCAAGGTATATTGGTGCAGACACTGTGGAAAATAGTATGGAAGTTCCTCAAAAATTAAAAATTGAACTGCCTGTGACTCAGTGATTCTACCCCTGGTATATATCTGAAGAAAACCAGGACACTAATTGAGAGGATATATACACCCTATATTCACTGCAGCATTATTCATAATCCTTAAGCTGTAGAAGCAACTCAAGTGCCCATTAACTGATGAGTGGATAAAAAAGCAGTGGAATATTATGACTCATCCATAAAAAAGAATGAATTTCTGCCATTTGTGAGAGAATAGTTGGCCCTAGAGGGTATAATGTTAGTGAAATAAGTCAGTCAGAGAAATACAAATAACATATGATTTCACTAAAAGCAATATAAATGAACAAACAAAACAGAAGCAGACTCAGAGGTAAAGGGAACATTTTGATGGTTGCCAGAGGAGAAGAGGTTTGGGGGAGCTGGGTGAAGAAGGTGAAGAAATTGAGAAGTACAGACTGGCAATTACAATGCAGTTATGGGGATATAAATTACACCATGGGAAAGAGAGTCAATAATACTGCAATAACTATGCATGGTGTCAGGTCAGTACTAAAAATATTGTGGAAAACACTTCGCCAAGCACATGATTTTCTAACCATTATTCTGTACACCTGAGACTAATATGAAATAACTAGAAGCCCGGTGCACAGATTTGTGTTCTTACAGAACCCGGGACCCCTCGGGGGATGTCAGAGAGCCAGTTTCGGCCTGATCCCTGCAGGCCAGGCCGAGGGACCCCACCAGTGCACGAATCTGTGCACTGGGCCTCTAGTATGCATATAAGATCTTTGGTTAATCTCTTCCCGCACTTCCCACTCCCCCATTCTCTCTGAGATTCATCAGTCTGTTCCATGTTCCCACGCCTATGGTTATCACTCCTGCGTTAAGCATCTGCCCAGGTGGCCAATGCACATCATAACTACTGGCTGGGCAGCCGGTCGCTTAGGCTTTTATTTATATATAGATATTGAATGTAAAGTCTTATTGAAAATAAATGAAATTTTGAAAATGGGGGAATAAAAACCTGAACTGGTAGAAAGCGTTAAGAAAGGCATGAAGGTATTTACATTACTGTTGTTTTTGAATCTGAGCTTCTACAAACTTTGCTACCAGAGAAATATACCAAGTTATCACACAGATTATTACAATAATAACACATGAAGACATACTAATTAATGAGGAGTATGAAATGTCAAAGCAAATATGGATAGAAAAATGTACGTAATTTTATGCCTAGTTCAGTCCTCTGCACAATGTAACCTTTCAAAATATTTCTTATTTTGTAAACTTTATGGGGGCAAATAAGGAATTTGAAAATGGTTTGAAACTTCATCAAAATCTTGCAAACTCACAAGTTCTTGATTGTAATGCCCCTTAGCAATGAGAAGAAGTGAAAATTCCACATAGCCTCATCGTGCAGATACTTGTATGTCAGAATAATCGCTCCCAAAACAATGCGTTTCCAGTTAGATGGGCAAATGTCGATTTCAGCATAAGATAAAAGTCTTTCTATGTAAACCTGCAAAGTAGAACACTGGTTTTTGATTCTAGTTCAGTTTAAGTGCTGTGATAAGAACTTTCAGGAATGATAGATTTCATCAGTTTTTGACATGCCTTTTATTCATAGCTTCTAGAGAGACTGCTTGGCCAGCCAAAGCCAGAGGCCAAGAAACAGTTGCAAATCAGACACTTCTACTGCCTACTTTCCCAGGTGAATTTCCAGCCTGCTCACCAAAGAGTCGCTGGTTCCACTCTTGGCCCCTGTCAGGACTCATGCGGGAGGCAATCAATAGATGTCTCTCTCTCATACTGATGATTCTCTCTCTATTTCTCCTCTCCTCCCCTTTCTTTTCTACTTTTTCTGAAAATCCATGGATAAAATATCCTCTGGTGAGGATTAAAAACATTTTTTTTTAAAGAGAGTCCCCCCCAGTGGCTGCTGTGTGGTGCAGCAGGACACGCCGTGCAAACAGGTGTGTCTGAGGCAGGTCTCTACAACTGTCAGGTATTCCTGGACTTAGTGCCTTTGTAAGAAACACACACGCACACCAAGGATAGACATTTCATATCCCCTAAGCCTCACATCTCCATCACAATTCTGTGAAATCCATCTCTGTCTTACACAACCTGAAGCTTGGTCAGTTCTGTTGGTTTCAGTTGGTAGCAGAGCTGCCAGTCTCTATCTCCCTGGTTCTCCTCTAAACCTGCCAGATAGCTGGTGAGATCTCATGATTTCTTCACATGTATTACATGTCTATTCTACAAAGAACTGGGTGAAGTTAACAGCTAAGCAAAGATTATAGAGGCAAGCTGTGATTTGCTGTTTCGTCGAAGGGTTCTTTGAAGAAGAGTATGTTTACTGTCCGAGGTTATCAGATTGACAGCCCACATTAGCCAAAGGTGTTAAAACCCAACTGTATTTTAGAAAGCAAAAGGTTACTGAACATTATGTGCTATTAGTGAAAGTTTGCACCAATCTTTCAAAGCTAAATGCTCCCAGATATCCTATGAATGAACCTCCTTACAAGGTTCAACTGTCAACTTTCTGGGAATAATTAGAGACATACACAACATTGGAAATCACTCAACTTTCCTTCATCACTTCTACAGATTTAGAATGTGCCATTACTCATTCATTTATACCACTTGCCCTCCTGTGTCAGTGGAATTGAGATTTCTCTTCTCACTGAAACTCTTCTAGCAGTGAAGTCAATCCCATCCCACTTCTGAAGAACACCTCCCACAATTACCTCTTCTTGAACACATTCCTGTGCCAGAGATTCTCCCCAATATGAATGTATTTATGTGGTACCCATCCCACTCCCCACAATCCCTAGACTGCCTCCTGTCTGTTTGCTCACAGTGAATGCCCTGAAGCTGCTTCTCATCTCCCACTCTCTCCTTCACCCACTGTAGTCTGCCCCTGGCACTGTCACTCGACTGAAACTACTACTGCTAAGGTCATCGGTGCGTGTGCACATACAAACCAGAGCTCTTCACCCCAGCTCCCCACTCCCCACGCATTCCCTAATGTCATGTGGGGCACTGCCATTTGCCTAGGTGCTTGGCCAAAGACGTCCAATTGAGTTGACCTGTTGCAAACTGTTAGCAACTCTTGTTATCGCTGCCTGTCACTGATAGTGAGTCTGCTTCCTAGTCTATTTGTCACTTCTCACCCATGTCACTGTTATTGCCCCTGACTTCTCGGCCTCCACTCAGACTCCCAGCTACAATCATTGTCCCCAAAGCAGCCTGGATAGCTTTTGTAATCAAGAGCACTTCCCCACCCTGCTCAACTCTGCCAAAGTGTTTCCACCAAACAAATAAAAATGTCACTTTCTCCCATGGCCTGCAAGCTGCAAGGCCCAATCAGGTAGCACTTGCCCTTCTAGGTCCACATGACCTACATTCTCTCCCTCATTCCACACTCTGACCACACTGGCCATACCTCACTCTTACTCAAATACCAAGTATAAGTTCCCGTCTCAGAGGCTGGCACTTATTCCCTCTGCACATAACGTCAGAGCTTCTCATCTTCCTCAGTTCAGTCAGGCCAGGGTCAGATGTCATCTCTTACAGAGGCTCTTCCTGATCACCTCTCTCAAGTAGCAAGCCCCTCTCAGCATGATATCACGTCACCCTGCTGTACCTTCGTGATATTTACTACTACCTGAGATATTCACCTTTTAACAACACTCAGTTAAAGAAATATTTATCTCTTCCTCACTAGGACAGAAGCACCATAAAAGCAAACACTTTATTCAACCATGGCTCTCCTCTATCCTCTGCACTTAGATCTGTAAGGACTCAGCTCTGAAGGAGAAATCATCAGGCATAGCTTAGGGTGCTATCAAAAACAGGGAGAAACAATAAAATAGAAGGAAGATAAGCGAGGTTCCAGAAAGAGAGTGAGGTCAAAGTGCTCAATGCTGACAAGAAGTTGCTCATTCCATAAATATCCACTAAATACCTGCTCTTGCTACTCTTCCTGCTTCCATGCACTTTTTATTCACACATTTTCTCGGTATTGGAATAGCTAATACTAATTCCCTGCCAGTAGCTAAGATTCATGCTCTAATTCCATATATTCAAACGCGTGGCCTGGTGCATCAAATGCGTGCATGGAGGGGGTTGTTCCCTCAGCCTAGCCTACACCCTCTCCAATCGGGAACCCCTTGGGGGATGTCCAACTGCCAGATTAGGCCCAATCCCATGGGCCTAAACTGGCAGTCAGACATCTCCCTCACAATCTGGAACTGTTGGCTCCTAACTGCTCACCTGCCTACCTGCCTGATTGCCCCTAACTGCCTCTGCCTGCCTGCCTGCCTGCCTGCCTAATTGCCCCTAACTGCCTCTGCCTGACTGCCTGATCACCCCTAACTGCCCTCTCCTGCTGGCCTGATCTTGCCCCCAACTGCCCTCCTCTGCTGGCCAATTTGGTTCTGACTAGTCTCTTTCTATGCCAATCAGCATCAAAAGCTCTGCTTCCTAGGCAGCCATTGGCTCCTCACACTTCACCCAGATTTGGTTCTGACTGGTCAGTTTCTATGCCAGTCAGCGTCTCTGGGTCTATCAACAGAGCCTGCTCAGAAGTGCGGCACTGATGAGCATCCCTGGTGGAGGCCTGGAGAGAAATAGAGGTGCTGTTGCTGGCCCGGCTTGGAGAGAAAGAGAGAGGCAAGTGTTGATCAACAGCTGCCACACAGGCTATGGATCAGACCCTGCTTCTCTCTTCAGGCCTCTCTCTGGGCCTGGTTTGCATTCCCCTCAGCAGTCAGTGCTGGGTCATAGTGCCTGCAGCCGCAGCAGTCAGTGCTGGGTCACCACGGCAACCAAGTGCTGACTGCAGGACTGACTTTCGGTTGGCTGAACCTCCGGTTGTGATGAACTCAGGGTTTTTATATAGTAGGATGATCTCTAGAGATGCCCCTCTATCTCACAGGTGCATCATCTTAATGTGTTTGAAAAGCACTCACCCTCTTCTACTCCAGATGCTCTCCTTGCTGAGTTCCCTAGCTCTTCAAGTGGGAGCACCACTCCCGCCTTTGATCAGCTGTGCTCAGCACTCCAGATGGCTGGCAGCTCCGTGAAAAGGCCTGTGTCTAATCCAGTGCCCACCGAGGGGTCTCTATTCAGAAGCACAGGCAGCCTCTCCAAAATTCTGATTGAAAACTGATGGAGGAGGCACTGCACTAAGTACTCTTCCCTCAGACCAAGCAGGAGACTTTCCCCTTTAGGATTGTCCGAGGGAGGAGTGATACAATCCCCATTCTTTCTCACGAGAATGGACCTCTCATTCCAAATGACACACTCTTTCCACAGAAAGCCTGGATGAATGACACAGAGCCCCTTACACAGCAGTAGCTGAGCAGACAACCAGCAAAGCCCTTTCAGGTCCTACTGGCACTAGAATCCTGGAAACATCACAGGCAGGCACAAGAGGACAGCAAGGATGGATGAATACCCATCATCCAAGGAACAGAGAACATTGGGCTCTAGTTCTCAGTCAGGACACACATTACAACTGCCTGGGGAATGCAGCCTGCGACTCAGCTTAGACCTACACTGAACCTGTCACTGCCTGGGGCCCAGAAGGTTCTGTTATTGCCCCCATCCTGCCCCATCAGCACACCTTGTATGTATGCCTGTGTGCACTGCATGTGCCTATGTCTCCTGAGGCCTGGAGGGAGAAATGGGAAACCTCTCCCTCCTGCTGCCTTTGATAGCAATCGCTTTGTGGTGAAAAAAGCAAGGACATTTTAAATCATAGTGATTATTAAGCTCAAGTGTGTGAACTTTACATCCTTTGATAGGTTTCCCTTAATAAAATTCTGAAAGAAGAACTATCTTACCAATGTTGTTATGGTATATCCTCCTGTTGCCTTAAAGGCAATGAAGAAAGGTCGAATAAATCTGTAAATTGATTCGGGATCAGGATTATGATGAAAGAATTCCTCAGGAACCTTTTCTTCCTGAAAGAAAGTACCCATTGAAGAAAAATATTAAGTACTTTTGTAACAACCATGTTCCACTTGTGCCCATGTGCAGCTTAAAATTATTTTGATTGGGTGACATGTATTTTAGCCTTTTAAATATAAATAATGGGACCTTAAAAAACAGTGACTGAATATTGACACGCAATAAAGATAAATACAGGCACAACCTCAGAATATTTATATATTCCTTTCCACCTTCCCCTACAATATTCTGTCTAAATGTGAACTATTTTTAGGCTCCAAAGACTTGTTGGTCATCATGTCATACTTCTCTGCAATCACCTTTGAGAATGTAACCATCGGGCTCTAAGGCTGTGCTGTGCATACAGTGCTCACCAGCCACATATTGTTATAGAGCATATCTGAAGACATTTTAAAATTTTTGTCATTCTAATTAATTCAATATTTAAATAGCTGTTTAATTGTCTTCTAGAGATCCTGACATATCTATTAGGTTTATGTACAAATATTCATATTGCTTGATGCTATTGAAAATTTTCTTTTAAACATATACATTTTTGTTTTTCAGGCATGTTGTCCACTGTAGCTCACTAATTATACAAAGCTGAAACTCAGTTCTTACTGACCTATCCTATATAATAAAAGGGTAATAAGCAAATCGACCGAATGGCGGAACAATTGGTCGCTGTGATGCGCACTGACCACCAAGGGGCAGAGCCTCAACACAGGAGCTGACCCCTGGTGGTCAGTGTGCTCCCACAGGCGGAGTGCTGCTTAGCCAGAAGCCAGGCTGATGGCTGGCGAGCATAGTGGCTGTGGCAGGAGCCACTCCCGCCTCCGCGGCAGTGCTAAGGATGTAAGCCATCAGTCAGACATCCCCTAAGGGCTCCTAGACTGCAAAATGCACAGACTGGGCTGAGGGATCCTCCACCCCCAGTACATGAATGTCGCGCACCGGGCCTCTAGTTTCTTATATAACACGAGAGGCTCAGTGCACAAAATCCGTGCATGGGTGGGTGGCCCTCAGCCTGTGCCCTCTCACAATCAGGGACCCCTCGCGTAGGGTCCCTAGGCTTGACTGGTGATGAGGCCCTATTGGGGCTTTCCTTCCCCTGGCTACTGGCAGCTGGCCATGCCCCCGCTGCTGCCACTGCTTGCCATTGGTGTGGCACTGCCAACCCCTACCCCATCACTTGGCATCTCCCTCTGCGGGCAATAGGCGTGGGGTGTGATCATTGGCTGGCCTGGGATTTCCCTCTGCGGGGTGATCACTGGCTGGCCCTGCACACCCACCACCACATTTCTAGCCAGTGGGCTGGGCCTCCATCTGTGGGTTGATTGATTGCGGGGCCCCACAGATCAATCACCCTGCAGAGGGTGGCCCTGCCCACACACGACAGTGCTGTCTGTAGGGGTAGCCTGGGTCTTCCTCTTTAGGACAATTAGTCGTGGGGCTCTGCGCACCCAGCTGGGGCTCCACAAATGGTCACCGCCCAGAGGATGGCCTGGGCCTCCCTCATTGGGGCGATCACGGAGTGCCACCCCACCCCGATCGATCGCCCCGCCAGCCAGAGGCATGGGTCTCCCTCTTTGAGGCCTTGGCCTCCCTCTGTAGGGCGATCGTGGGGCGATGGCCGGGCCCCCTGACCAATCACATTGCACCCACCTTGGCAGGCCTGGCACCAGTGTGTGTCATAGCATAGTCATCCAAAGTTCATCTGGAAGGTCGTTCTGCTGTTTGGTTGTTTGGTCGGTTTGCATAGTACACTTTTATTATTATAAACTAGAGGCCTGGTGCACGGATTTGAGCACAGGTGGGGTCCCTCAGCCTGGCCTAAGGGGATCAGGCCAAAACCAGCTCTCCAACATCCCTCGAGGGCTCCCGGACTGTGAAAGGGTGCAGGTCAGGCTGAGGCACCCCTCACCCCAGTACACAAATGTTGTGCACTGGGCATCTAGTTTCTTATATAACACTAGAGGTCTGATGCACAGATTTGTGCACAGGTGGGCTCCCCTGCTCTGGCCTGCAGGGATCAGGCTGAAACCGCTCTCCGACATCCCCCAAAGGGTCTGGGATTGCAAGAGGGCAGTTCTCGGGTTACACACCCCAGAATCGACTCCCTCCTCTCTGGTTCTGAGTGCATCACCTGAGAACCACATCTGCCAAGTCACAGCAACTCAGTAGCATCTGCATTGAATGTCAGACCTCTGTTGGTCAGTTCGCGCCATAGCTACCAGTTAGACAGTCGCTTATGCTTTTATATGTAGATGTTCCTTTTGTAAAATAATTAGATACAACATGGGGAGGGGAAGAAAACTTAAAGGAAGGTAATGTGAACTCCAAGCTGGAGAAAGTAATTTTTTACTAGTGATTAATTTTGAAGCAAATCAGCATGGAATAAGCACAACTGTCTGAGAGAAAAGAACAACCTCAATACAACTGGCACTTACTGTGACAGGATGGAGTCTCTCATCAAAAATGTCCTTGGATCTATTTGCATCTCTAGAAAACAAGAACGTGATTGAAAAAAAACTAATCCAGGAACTGTCGTGTTAGCAACACATCTGCTGGGAGTAGAGGGGGGTGGAGGGAGCTTAACCTTCAACAAAGAAAGTCCTTCTACAAATTCTTCTCTTAGATCCCGTAGGAATTTTCTGACCTCTTTTTATTCAGCACATCAAATTCTGTGAAATTTTTTCTACAATGACCTGCCAGAGCTGCCTTTATAAGCATTGACCCTCCCTAATAGGCAACACTAGGCAACCAAATCGATGGCCAGACCTCTAACTTCTCATTGGCAGACACAGGAACATTTTACAACACAGTAGTAGTGGGCAATTCTTCATGTGAGAATGAGATTCCTGGTTTTTTTTTTCACTGTTTTTTCTCTTACTAGTTTCCTATATTATATTCTTATTATATAATATATTTCTTCTTGATTCTTTACAATAATCTGAGGTTAAAATTTGCCTTTGAATTTTAAAAGTGACCACTCTATTGATTTGAGGGGGAAAAAATGGATTGGCTGCCCCCTATACATGGAACTGGAAAACTAGCTATGTGGCCTTACAGAATTGAACCTACAACCTAGGTATGTGCTGCCCTAACTTGGAATCAAACCTGCCAGCTTTTGGTGTACAAGACAATGCTCCAACCAACTGAGTGAGGGAAACCAGTCTTCTGGGGTTTTTAGGTTTAATTTTCCACACTACTACACTCTGCTCATTTACACAGTGGTTCTCCAAGTGTGTTTTGCAGGCTTCAGTGGTTCCACTAGACCATTTCCAGGAGACCCATGAGGCCAAAACTGATTGTATAGACATATTAAGGCACTGCCTGCATTTACACTGACATTTGCAATGACTGGATAAAAGCCAAAGTCAGTAAAACTGGTTTCTGAGCAAGAATCAAGGCAGGGGTCCCAATCTGTGCTAGTAGTCATTCTATTCTTCACTGCCACTTGTTGACAAGAAATATGCTTTACTTAAGCACATCTTTGATAAAGCAGTGACAATGAATAATGTTATTAGAAGTTGAATCTTCTTTTTATACTCTACAGTGGTTCTCAACCTTCTGGCCCTTTAAATACAGTTCCTCATGTTGTGACCCAACCATAAAATTATTTTCGTTGCTACTTCATAACTGTAATGTTGTTACTGTTATGAGTTGTACTGTAAATATCTGATATGCAGGATGGTCTTAAGTGACCCTTGTGAAAGGATCATTCGACCGCCAAAGGGGTCGTGACCCACAGGTTGAGAAATGCTGCAAGGGGAAGTATGCATTAAGCATTTCTGCATACAGAAATATGGTTGTTAAGGAAAAGCACTTGGAATTAGTTGTGAGATGAATGCCCTACTGTTCTCAGAGAATAATATTTTTATTTGATAATACAAGTGTCGTGCACTCAAGACTGAAAAGTGAGTCTGTCACTTCCAGGAAAATAACTTATACATTTCTTGCCAATTGCACAGTTCCAGCTATCAAGCTCAAAATCAAGATTGGGGAAAACTTGTATCCTTTTTGTGACCTAACAGTTTTTCAATACCTAAAGGTTTTTCTGGGAAGACTGGTGGTTATGTGATGCTACCTAACAAAAGTGAGTTTTGATACTGTAAAAAGAAATGTGAGCTGATACTTGACAAATGACCAATGCACAATGTTATTAGAAAATTACTTACAATTTAAGAGATTCATTTATTATAGAAGATGTATGCATGGGTACTAATTTAACAGAGACCTTAGTACAAGTTCAAGGATAGGATTTAAAATTCCATTGTAACTAATTTCAGAAGACAGCTTCTGTGGACTCTGGTATAGTATCAAAGAATATCCAAAATTATCTGAAGGCTTTGAAAATACAAACTTTTCTAGCCATAAAGATACATGAGGCTGGGTCTGCATATTGTTTATTCAAAACAAATTATTGAGATGACTGAGGTAATCACTAAGGATTGAAGACAGGGTGTAAGTGAGAATCAGCTGTCTTCTGTTGAACCAGAAATAAAGAGATTTGCAAAATGTAAATAAGTGACACAATTTCCATTCGACCAATTTATTGTGGAAAATGATTCTCTTTTATAAAGAATTATGTTAACACTATGACTCGCTATCAGGGGTGTTTCTGCCCCCCAGGAAACATTCGGCCATGGTGGATACATTTTTTTGTTGTCAAAATGGGACCTGGGAAGATTATGCTACTGGCATCTAGTGAGGAGCGTCCAGGGAAACTGTAAACACTCTGTAACGCACAAGGCAATCCGCCACAACAAAGCAGTATCCTGCTCAAAATTTCAACAGTGCTATAAAAACCATGTTTCAACATACAAGGAATTCATTTTTAAATTCTCAGTTTTAATTTCTAATACAGTAAATATCAATATAAACCAGATAAACAAATTTTCTTCAGGATCCTCAATAACTTAAGCATTAGGAGTCCTAAGACAAAAACAAATGGTTCGCTTCAACAATGTAATAAGAGCACTAAAGCTTACTTCAATAGTATCCATAGTTAAAATCTAACACTAACTTTATATCTGGTAAGTTTATTAGCTAGAATAACAAGACTGGTTTTAAAACTCACCTCTTCTTTATGTGGTAATATATTGCTAGTGCCAGGCTGTGGAGAAAAGAAAAAGTAACAATTGACTTTATGTCAGGTCTGAAGACAGGTTTTAAAAGGGTTGTGGTGGGGGAAGACCATCCCAGCTTCCAGGGGCCATGAGATTCTCATTCAGAAAGTATCACCTAAGCACTTTCTGCCTTGTGGTAGTTCTTTGTCAGTTACTAAAATTAGGAAAACCAAAATGCTAAGGAATATGCTGTTAGAAGACATGTTTTGAGTGATTATTATAACATATAAGTTATTACACTCTTGCCCTATCTTTTGCCTTTCTACTCAGAGAACCTTTCATCCTGTACAAGTTAGATCTACTTGTGCACATGCTTAAATTTAAGCCACAGTAGTTTTTCCACCTGCCCACCTATTTTCCTTTTTCCCCTAAAGTTAAATAAAATGCTCTATACAGAAGAGAATCATTTAAGGTCACTTTTACATAATTGTTAAGAAAATGTAATGGCAAATATAAGAATGCAATGAAGTAAAATTATACACCCTGTAGTATTAAAAACATTTATTTCCAAATTAGTTTAAATAAAATTTTAATGAGCAGATGTAAGTCCTCATATACTGCGTAAGTTCCTATATCCCTATGTTATTCCCAGATGCTGTGTAACATGAAACAAAGGAGTGCTGTAGATCAAGTTATATGCTTTTTCTCTTTGCCCCAAATGTCAGAAATGAAGCTCCAAATAATTGAGGAAAAGCAAATCTGAATTTTATAACTAGGTTATAGAATATTAGCAGTTGTACAAAGGTCTGTAGCATTGTTAGCATCAAAGATGGGCACTTCTATAGTGCTTCAAACAGTTTCATCTTCAAAATGATTTTAAAATCATAGAATTTGAAGCATATAAGCTGAAAGGAACCAATGAACTTGTGATGATATTTAACTCAACAACCCATTTTACAGAGAAAGTAACCAAGGCTTAAAACTGACTTGCTCAAGGTCCCACCAAGAGTGAGAAGCAGTTCTCCTTCTTCTACCCTCTAACCAGGTAGTGTGGTTCCCAAGCTTGGCTGTGCATTGGGATCATCAGAGGAGTTTTACAAACTGCCTTCTTCCACCTTGAGATGCTCTGATTTAACGGGCATTGGTTAACTTTGGAAGCTTCTCGGGTGATGACAAAGTGCAGCAAAGTTTGAGAACAGAATGAAGTAGAGTTAAAATCAAAATCATCCCAGATGCTTTTCTCCACATAAAAATGCCTTCCATCCCTCCTCAGCTTATCAGAAGGCTTGTGAGAGTGACAGAGTGTGTTAGGGAAGGAGAAATGGAATGCATGTGTTTAGAGACACATTTAGACAAAAATTGCGTAAGTGATTCTAATAAGGCTCACCCATCCCATTGAGAACAATGCACTATTACCCCAGAATAAACATTTTTTCAAAACCATTCCTAAAAGCTAATGAGCTCTATTAATATTCTCACTAAACCTTTAATTTACCAATAGTAAATGTACTGAATGATCATTTTCAAAACTTGATAAGAGCAAATGAAAATTTACTGTACTTCCAAAAATTAGATGAATTTGGAGGGAAAAGGCATAACACCCACTTGTCTAAGTAAGGCTAATCTTCAAAACAACTCTTGAATTATATATTGTAACACCAGAATCATCTAATTCAAAAGAAGCTATGAAATGCAGCCAGAAAGGACTGGTTTTTACTCCCCGATTTAGTGGCAAAACTGAAGAAAAAGACTCAGTGATTGTGAGTTGGGTGCCAAAGCTCAGGACTTTAGAGAGAGACGGGTTCCAGTTTTGCTGAAACTCAATTTGATCTCAACTGTTGTTATGAGAGAAGAAACTTACATTATTATGATTGCAAACTGGCTATTTTTAATTAAAGTAGAAGTTACTGAGAATTTAATTAGCCAAAAAGCTGATACAATATAAACAAAATTAAGTTTATAAATAAATTATGTCTTAGGACTGAAAAATAAAATCAGGAATGAGGATGTTAATATTTTCAGGTAGAATTTCCCAAACTGTGTTCTGGAAAGTCAACCCTCTCATCCTGGAGAGACACCAATAATGATCCTTGGACAGCGCCAATGGGATTCAGGAAGCTCTACATCCTAGTTTGGTTTTATTTTGCTCTTAAGTAAGCTTGAAAGTTTCATATTAGGGT